TGAACCTGCGGAGTAGCCCGTCTAAAAAAATGTATGTATTGTTTTAATTGTACTTTGGATTAAAGAGAGAAATGTGGTGTATCTATCATGGATGTGAGATTTCACTGTTGAAATGGTTAAGTCGTTGTGTACAGTGTAATTTGAAATTTTTCGAAGAATGTTAGATTATTGTATGTAGTTTGTATATACTAGATGTGTACTAATTTTTCTGAACGCCAAAGTTTTGCTTTATATGTCCAAACTGGTTTCAGTATAGGATTATAGATCAGTAGTATGTTTTGTAAGTTCAGTGAGGATCTGTAGTCCACAAGTGGTGAGACTTGATTATACCTGAGAACAGTTTTTGTTTTTTTAATGTCATATTATATTGCCTAAATAATGCAAGTTTTTGTAGTCATTGGTAATTATCGATGGTTATAAGCAGAGCTTGAAACAGATATTTTTATTTATAAAAAGTTACGGTATCACCGGAATTTCTATTGTTGATTGTTTTTCAGTTCTTTATTAAAGTAAAAAGTTTTCTATTCCAACTTTTCAAGTAAAGATTTGACAGAACTTTAATATTTTTTTCTTTTTAACTTTTATGTAACGTTCTGTCGATTTCGCTAACAAGTTGATCTAAATTATAACTTTTATTCATAGCTACTCAAACAAACAAGGCAATTTAATCTAAGCCCCATTAGTGTTTATTTTTCATGTAACAGAACTGTTTTTTAAAGAACTTGAATAAATATAAGTTAAACTTTTACTATGAACCTGGAACTTTTTCACAAAAGCTTCTTATTTTTTTTTATTTTTAGAACTTTTTTCTTAAAACTTTTCACAGAAACTGTTAACAGAGAACTTTTTTGAAAAAGTATCAATCCATGGTTGAAGATGGTCATAAATATAATATAACTGTTATTTTTAGACTGTTATTAAACTTACTCAGGAGCAACCGCATTCTTCCTCAAGGATCGCTAAGTTTCAACACTTACTACAGAGAATACCATCGGACGAACAACGACGAAGAGGATGAGATGGGAAGTGAAAGTCCGATCTCAGCTTAGGGTGGCATCGGGTCAAGGTTTGTCAGTAACAGGCTTTGTTCTTGAGATGAGCAGCAGGATGCCAAAGGATACTAGGAGTAATTATGTGTCCTTTAGCACAAGGATTAATTCCTCCTCAGGATTAAAAGATACGGGAGAAATGCGGTTGTGTCACGTAGTCCAGAGTCGCTACAGAACGATGAAATGGTTTAGTAAAAATTTCCTACCCAGATCACTGTAAGGAGCAAACTAGTACATACTATCAAGTGGATGCGGAACTAAACATGTCGTTTAAGGTGAAGTACTGCAAGTTACCTTTAAAGGCTACATTTTAAACAGTTTGTCCGTGTTCACAAAGAAATTACCTACCCTCAGTGGCGGATCCAGGATTTAATTTTGGGAGGGCTTCAGCCAGAACAATTTTATATATATAATCATAATTAATTTGAAAAAAAGAAAGGAAGAAATTAACTACCTATATGAAATGGTGTTTAAGTGATCTTGAAATCCTATTAAATGTAATTACACGAACAATAATACTTTAAGAGATAGTTTTTAGTATTTTTTTCTATAAAACATGGTTATATTTTACCGTTTTGGGAGGCGCTTCAGCCCGAAAGCCCCCATCCCGTGGATCCGCCTGTGCATAGCCTTCTAACCGAAGACGCTTTTTGTCAAATCAGAAATATTTTTGTAAGGGGTCTTTTCGTTTTTTTCTCTAAATTATCGATGTTTTTATGCTGTTGGATATCGATTCATCATGTCCAATAGACATTTTATTTCAAATGCATAGTAAAACCAACAATTAAGTCGATGATGACTTCACTACGGCCTATAGTATAGGTCCTATACCATAAAACATAAATCTCTCTATTATACAAAAAATTGTTTAGTGACTTTGTCATTTTATTTCACATACAAAGCGGACCGTGGACGGACCGTGACGAAGACACCACACTTCTTATTCCCGAAATTATTTCTCCCTTATGCTAATGACAGGTATGGCGATGACACGTATATCCTTTCAGTTAATACGATCCATCTATTGCATCCCAAACTCACCAATCACACATCACAAATCTCGAAAAAAAGGGTCGAAACTAGAGGATTAAAATAAATTCCAATAAATCCCATCAAATTACCTTTACTTTTAAATCCACGAATTCCTGTTCTACAGTATCCTTTAACAATACCCCACTTATCTCTGTTGAAAAATCCTATATAGGACAAACGACTCACTTGGAATCCTTCAACCAGACTGAAACGATTAGAAACCGCCCAACGTTTTCGATTACTGCAGCACTTATTAGACAAACGCTCTAAACTTCTAACTATTTACAAAAGACTCATTAGTTATTACAAAAGACTAGTTATTATATATAACTATAATAAGGCCTATTTGGACTTACGCGATCGAGCTTTGGGGCTCTACTAAACCTAAAAACCTAATAAATACTTATATCCCAAAATCCTTCGTAAAATCCTCAATGCTCTCCACTTTTTCACAAATAAAATCATCCATAAAGACCTTAATGTCCCTATGTTTTCGTCTTAAATCCAGATACCTATCCTTCCATAATAAACTTCTGAACCATCCGAACTCTCTTGTTTCTAACCTTGCTTCCTCTTCTATTCCTGATAACCCTCCAATCCCTGACTAAGGCGTCTGAAAAAAAGATGGCCTTGGGACCTTCTAATATAGATATATAATTGGAGTGCTACCAATGGATAGTTTCTCTTCATCTTGTACTTGTCATGTTACTAATTTTATATTTACTTGTTGTATTTATCATTTAATACAGTTGTAGATTTCAATATATATATATATATATATGAAAAAAGACAAGAACATGTTTTAAAATATCTGTCTAATTACTTATAATGTTATGAGGGCTTGTAAATCCCAAGAGAATAATTGAAACTGTCAACATTGAGTGGTATTTTGTGCTAACGCATTAACTAAATCATCCCCTGCAGCACAAGTGCAGTATTTCATCAACCTAATAATAATGGACAATTACAGCTAATCGTTAAGTATTTTAAGTAAATTAAAATTAGTTACATCTATTTATGTTGCGGGCGTCATGTAAAATGAAGTGATGAGTTGACACCCTGACAATTGGGAAGAGTAACGCCGCGTGTTCGCCGCTTATCATGTTTTAGCTCGCGGGTTACAATAGTCATGCACACCCAGCGTTATTTTGAGTGTCACGTGTATTTGCTTAAACTACCTTGGGTTTAAGTAAATTTGAACTTTTGTAGCAATGCGCTAATACTTTGAAATTTTTAATCATGTATAGTCATTACAGCATTTTTTTGAAGTAAATTTAAATATATGTATATGTTTCCAAATCTAGACCCTTCTTCCAAATTTTGAGTACAGTAACAAAAATATTTGAAGATTTAGAAGATAGATTGAGTATAGAAATATTATTTTAATTATTAAATTCTCATCATCCCTTATAATCCAAACCATCTAGCACTTTTTTGACTCAACATATTTCTAAACTAATACTCAAAAAGAAATTTCCTTCCTCAAAATCTGGCCTCGTTCTTCAGAACTGTTGAGCATTAGATAAATTTCAAATCAAGAAAAATCTAAAAATGAACTACAATTAACCCAAGTACAATCGATTGTCGTATGGACATTACTTTACTAGTAAATATAATAATAAAACGTTATTTTGTATTTTTGTTAATCCTCAATGATAATGGTTTACTTTAAAAAAGGTTACCACAACAGCATCTCCATACAGTTCCATTAACCCGGCATTGGTCCGTTGTCTCCAGACTGTACTTACGCATATTTCCCCCAACATTCTCATCAGGATCCGCCTCTCAAACCTTACAAGAGCCTGAGAAGTAGTGGATAGAATTTGATTAAATTAAAGAACATTTAGGTAGCAATCCGCATAACAGCTGAAAATATAATCCTGATGGGATTAAAGTAGTAAGTGATATACCATGTGCATGCATTTGACCACAGGCTTATAAGAAATTTAATTGTTACCTGTACAAAATATAAAAGATGAGAGGAAATTTTCAATATTGAGAAAACACGAAATAAAAAATTAGCTTACATTGATATAAATGGAGAATAATTACATAAGAAAAAATGTTTTACTATTTCATGAAGCAAATTTAAGAAGAAGCAACTGCGGTATAAACGGAAGTAAGATTATCTAAATTTCTTTCCAAACATGAAATTGAATTTTCAGTTTAACTTTGTTTCCCTTGCTTTGAAGATGGCTCCTCAACTAGAATCATTAAATGCTAAAAAAAAATTTGATTTGACAGGAAATTATGACATGTCTCAACAATTTACATAAAGCGGATCCGGTTATCGTTAACGTCTGAATGTTTTCTTGATATCGAAGTATTGTTACATCAATAAAGAGGTGTTGCCATGCAATATCCTGAAAAATCGATTGTAGATGCTTTCGTGATTTGCAATTTCAAACTTTGTATTACCATTGACTCGGCGGGGAGAGAAGCTCTGGGATCTCCTGGAGTCCTGCTTTGGCTTCCACACATGTTGGACAAAGCATAACACAGAGTCCCCTGGGCTAATTTAAATATTGTACATAGGTGTGAATGTGTTTTATTTATTTTAATTTCTATCTATTATTTTATTTTCTGTACATATGTATTATCAATTTTATTACTTTTTCTTTATTTTCTCTATTTTACTCATTATTTGTGTGTACATAGTGTGTGAATGATTACTGTAGCCCTAATATTAATTCCATTAAATGTGGCAGAATTTATTAATATTCAATTATTAAAATTAAACAAAAAATCTTTGTATTATATATATTCGGAAGGTTTTATTTCAAAATATTGTGTATTATGAATATGGACAAATCGTCTCCTATGAGTAGTTATATGTAGGATGTAGTTTGGATTCTTCCAAGTTTTCAGTTATTAGTTTTGCAACTAGGACTCCATACTAAATCGGGTTAGGTCGTCTTTGTCAAATAATGATTCCTGAGACCTGTAATTACAGAGCCAAACGGAGCTATAATCTCGCGCTAACCACTATGCCCTGGACAAGGTGCATAAATTAGCTCCGTACAGAAACCGGGGGAGAAGTGGGCATTGGAGAGGCATTCTAACGGGGAATCTGGGTTAATGAAGGATGTCAGATGGCGGAGCAGTGCTGGAGCCGACCGCGACATGGCCAATATATTGCACCTCCGAGCAGGCGCAGACATGTTCTCTTGGTCAACATGATTGGGTCAAGTCCACTTCGTGCAATGAGCACAAGGGTGAGCGAGCAAGTGGAAGCCCTATCTCCTTCAAGTAATGGACTATTCCTAGTTCAAACTAAAAATTGAGTGGAACAGAGTCTACAGTTTTATTTTGCAACACGCTCAACTGACAGCGTAAAAGTAAGATTGTACTTATTGATTCCAACAATGGTAGAAAGTTATTTTAAGGTATTCAGAGTAAACCAAATACGAAATTCGGCATGACACTTTATAATTTCCTTTAATCAATTCTCATATCAATTCAGCTACCATCTTTCTGATCTCCTCCACCCACACATTGCGGGACATGATAGTTCATCACAAAATTTAAGATAAACCTCGTATTTCTTATGATTAGGATTAGTCGATTTATCGTTAAGGAATTTATAGTTGTTTTTGGTTTACAACTGTGGTTCTATAAATTGAAAATCAAAATTAATCCTACTTAATCCACCCACGTAAGTTTCTCTTTAAGGAAAGTCTCATGGCCAGCTATTACTATTTACAACAACGCAGTACCTTAAAAGAACTATCTATGCTATCTCGGACTCAGCTTAGACTAGTTTTGCCCAAATGCGAGACCGAGAGGAGTCTTGGTCTTGCAAACTCAGTCTCGGTCATGGTCTTGGTCTTGCTCAAGAGCCTCGCAACAGTCTTGCAGTTACATATTAGCTTATTACTGTATAGGTATTTTTTTAGATAGGAGAAGCCCAAATGAAAAATTAGAGGAGTTAAATGCAAAAGTATATTGGTTATACCAATTATTAACATACAGTAACTTGTATTATATTGTAGAGTATTAGTAACTGTTTTCCTTAATTTTTATTTAAAAATCGATATTTTTTACCAGTCCTGGTGTTGGTCTTGCAAAAGATAGGCGGCCTTGGTCTTGATCTTGCAAAGTAAAAGACCAAGATCGATTTTGGGCAACACTAGCTTAGACAAAAGACTTGATTGGAACCCACATACGAAATGAAAAAGACGAGAACTGACTAGACCATATAACCAACTCTCACATCATCTGGACTACAGATCCTTACTTAACTTACAAAACAAGCTACTAATCTATAACCCTATGCTGAGATACATTTAGAAATGTGGAGCAGAATTTAGGGTTCCAGAAAAACAAACACTCATGAAGAAAATACAAACATCACAATAAAATATTCTACGAAAAATCGTTAACCATAATAAATTTCAAATAACAGTATACCACAACGAATTGACTATTTCTAAAGCAAAATCCTACATCCACAACAAACGCACTAAATTTCATTCTTCAACTCAAAGTCACCTCAATTCGGTTGTTCCTTCCTGTTACTCGCTCAAAGAAAATGGCCAAGAGACCTACTCCTTCGATGATAAATAAAGTCATTACTGTAGTTACGGAATGGAAATCCGTAACAAATAATAATAATAATATTAATTTAATTTTTATTTTAATAATTGAGTTTGTTAAATAAAAAAATAATTGGTGAATCATGTATTGGTGAATTGTATTGATAATTCTCATAACTCAAAGAATAAAAGGACAAAGCTATCCCCCCTAGATAGCTAATGTTATCTCTGATAGCTTAGAAATAGTTATCTAGAAGGTACCGATTGGACACAAGACCCATTATAAGGACTTAGAGAACAATAACAAATTTCAGCAAAAGATCTCTTTCTCACAGACTTCATATCAATACTAAAGGATAAGGATATCAATTCCAAATAGTTAATAACTCCTCTCCCACGCTTCCTAGACCTCCCAGAATTACTTCCCTCCCCTTACTATTTCAGGGTATATAACCCCCAGGTTCCTCTAGACTAATCACTCTTGCAGTTACATTCTTGAAGTTGCACTGTTGTAGGAGACCTGGAGTGAACTCTGGTAGTCAACCCATGTATTCATGGTATTATTCTGTATGTTTTTTTTTTATTTATTTATTTATATGATATTTACAACTGTATAAAAAAAAGACATCTGGTAAATTCGCACATGGATATCCACATGGAACACATGTTGAGAAACTACCCATTGGTAGCACTCTAATTCTGTATGTTAAGATGCCATTTGTAACAGACATAAAAGTATTACTTACAAAGTCTTCACTGCCTCCGATACGTTAACTCATGAAAATTTTAAGTAAATAATAAGCTACATCGAATTTATAAAATTCGTTATTTCGCGAAGTTGCAAATAGAATAGTTCATAGTTCATATTTCGATAGTTCATTGATCATGGTATATGCTCAAAAGCGTCAGATATCTTGTTCTTCTGTCACTCCAAGCAACAAGAACGAAACATTAAGCTGCTGAACCCATATGAGTCTGCTGGAATGCTTTAGCGCTATGACTATGCATTTTTTTTCTGGCATAAAATGACAAATTATGGGAATACCTACAACTCATGAAAAAAAAGATTTTCAAGAAAATGGTCAATCAATATCTCGTGATTTGGAGGCAACAGGTTAAGAAAGACGGACATATAATTCGAAGCAAGCTATTAGGAAACCTCTACACGACTATTAATACCTCAATATTTAGGGAGACACTACGAGGGAAGCCAAAAAGCAGATGGATAGATCGAATCAATAAAAAGGATGCAGAATATTTGAGAATTTTTGCACCAAGATTAAAAATTTGTACCATATTTAATTTATCTACATATTTACTATTTTAAATATATTTTTTAAGGCAATGGCCATTATTTTACAAATAATTATGGCAATATCATAAGCAGTCCTAAATGAAGTGAATTTGATATCAGTCAACTATACCAGTGATATTTCGAATCTTTTCGTTATTTCAGTCTACAAGAAAAGTAAAATAGCAAACCTAGTTCAAATGTATTTCTACTTCTAGAGTAAGAATATTTAAATCTAGATGAAGCTGGGTGCATTTATATGGACCCCATGCCATTAAACAGCAGTCGGAATTACCGTCTCCATCAAAGGCAACTTGCATTGGCATGGGAATCGGTCAGGTTATCTCAACTTGATCCTCGGGTTGGCAAGTTCTTTGACCTCGCCAGTGTCAGCTTCCTCGTCACGTTTTGACTTCCACCAACCACGCCACTCAAATTCGCTTCTTCTCAGGGCCAAAAAAATAAATTGGCTGTTTTTTTCCTGTTAGTTAAAATTAAATAAGCTTCGTTATGTTATACCGTGAATCTTCACATAAAGAGATTTCTTTGAAAGTATAATAAATTAGAACAATGGAAAGGCTAATAAGTAACCAAAGTTAGAGGTAATGGTAGCAATATAGTTTCAAAGGTATTACAATCGTGTTACTTGTTTGGCGATACCGTATAGCTTATAACTGCAGACGTGGGTTCAAACCCTACTTTGACAGATAATTTATTTTCTATTCAATCAGCTATGGATCGACTACTGGTTCGGGATACTATCCTGTGGCGCACCTAGCATTTAGTTAACACGTGAACAGTTCGACGGATTACAGGAAAAACTTGCCGGTTTAGATCATTCCCTCTGTACCTATTTGGCATGAAGAATTTAAATACTTTAATAATATACTAAATTAGTTTTAGTCGTAGATATTTTTTTCTTTTTAGGGCTTAAATGGTTACTTAAATTATGATTTTTCCTTAGTATGAAAAAGTTGACTAAGAAATGAAGGACTATTCGTTCTTCTTAATTACAGATCGGATTTCCTTGGAAGTTAATTTTAGTAAAAAATATACACACGCTCATATAAATATATATGCATATCGAAACACCTTGATCAACAATTTGCATTGTATCACCAACATCGTACCTTAACCTTTTGTTTTTTTTTCTTATTTTTCTTACGATACGAATTATGTTTAAAGTTTTGATGTAACTGATAAACCGAAATTCATAGTTTGAAATTTTCACCACGAGTTTCTGAGTAATTTATTTTAATTTGCATTCTATTTTTTTGGGGGGAAGGGGCGCTTTTTAGATTGATTTTTCATTATTTGTTTGATTAATTTTTAAAGGCATTTACAGACTTTAGCCATCTGAGCCAGCCTTCTTCAACTCTGCCTTTCTTCAGACCTGTTTCTCAAATCGGTATTCCTATTATGTATCATTTTGTGGCAGAAGAAAAATTCATACTGCGCTAAACCATTCCCACAAACTCATATGGGTTTAGAAGCTTAATGTTTAGTTCTTGTAGCCTGGAGTGACATAAGAACAAGATATCTGACGCTTTTGAAAAACGTTTATGGCTTATGCCATGATCAATGAACTATCGGACTACTAACTAAGAACTTCTCTGTTTGCAACTTCGCGAAATAGCGCATCAAATATATTAGATACGCTATTTCACGAAGTTAATTTTAGAAACATTTCTCAATTCCTTTTTATTTGAAAAATTGGTTTACTTTTTTCATTCAACAATGAATTGAATTGCAATATCTCTATCAGGTTCAAGAACTGAAGTTCCGTTTGACGATTAAACAAAACCCTCTTACTCTCTGATTTAATTTACAAATCTATTGGCGTTAAACAACATGATATTATATTATTGTCATATATTCCTTCATTTGTCAATATTTTTTAAATAATATCTAAGGTTAAAAATATGTTCAACTTATAGAGCTTAGAGACGTGGTATCATTGTTTTCAAATATTTATTTTATTGACACTAGGTCAAAAAAACGTGTACGAGTTCTATTTTATGTTAGATTCAAGAAATACTTAAAATTAATAAATAGTAATATAAAGTCCTCTATACGATGGCCGGAACGATCTGGAACTATAGCACTAAAGCATGGACAAAACATAAGTCGAAGGATTCGTGCCAACGGAAACAAGAACAATTTAGAGGGAAAAAATTGTACTTGATGTTGTTTAATTTAGGGACCAATAAATAAACTAGACGAAATAACACAATTCCATAATCCGTAATCAAACTAACACTATAGATATTAAATGAAATATTTTTTTATAAAGGCGTAAAATCTAAATCACTGATATGGTTTGGAAGAACAAATATTCAGCTTTCCCATGGTTGCAGTAACGAATAATAAAAAAAACAAAAAAACTTGAGGAGTTGTGATCACTATAATGAACAACATGTCATTTCGATGAAAAATTGTATTTAAATGTTTTTAAAGACGGGAAAAAAGAACCAACATAAGTTCCAAATTCCAAATATATTCCAAATATAAATTTAGTTTTTCCACTTTGTCGGAAGCGTCTTTTGGTTTTATTCTGTACACATTTGAACAAATTTAATACCATCAGAATTTTTTTCTTGTTACACGTAGAAAATTATAAAGCAAAACGATATGACCATGTAAGCCATCCCTAGAAAAGGAAAAAAACAATAATATGAGACAATAATGAAATCATGTTTTCAAAAAATGTCTAATAGGGCACCTTGACAAGAAGAATCCTCGGTTAATATGTTTAATATGTTTAGACCTAATATCACCCTAAAATTTTAATTGGTAATCCCACGTGTGTTAATGCCTATTAATAGTGCCGACAGAGTCTGTATTCTAGTAGTCATCAGATTGTTGATGATAACTAATCTTTTAGGATAACCCAATCCACCATAAGTTGCTTAATATCAACGGAAAAATGGTAAAGATTTTTCAGTTCAAATTATGCAAATGCTTAAAATTACCCAAGTCACGACATCATAAGTACCAAGGGGATTGGGAGCATTTATATGCTGATAAATAATACATGAGAACATATTGCACGGAAGGTTCTGTGTAAATAGGTAACTTTACGAATCACAAATTCCAAATATTTATAAAAAATAATAAAACAAGAAGAATATATAATGCTATAATGCCACATTGTTAAATAATATTAATTTTCAATTTTATAATTTTCCAAATTCATTTTTAAAAAAATCTTCTAATGCTAATTTATTATTTACATTTTTCAGAAACAATGAATGTTGACTGATGAAAAATTTTTAATTTAACAATTTATTCAATTATTTTTGTTATTTCCGAGACAAATCACTTTAAAGAAAAAATATTGACAACTTTTTGTGATCCTCTCTTTTTATTAAATCCCATTCAATGTAAAAATATTTGTCTGAATTTGATCTGAAAATAGCGATTTCTGGTTACTTTTCAGTACAAAAACAATACAATTTAAAAAAAAAAATCACTTTTATTAATTTTAAAACTATATACACATTCTGAGATACTTTAATTTATATGTTAAACTAATCTCGTTATCATTTGGTTTTCGATACTATTTTTTTCTTTTTGTGTAACACGGCGGTGCGTTAAGGCAAAATTTCGAATTTTAGCCTATTAAAGAGAGGATGAAATGCCAAACAATTTCCTTAATCACAGTTTGCTGGCCCGATTTATAGTTTCTGAGATATTTTAATCCATATGTAGAAACATTTCAATTAGTCGACTCTAGCCGACTTTACCCGAATGTTAATATCGAGCGAAATCTGACTCATAAATCTAATTTACTCTCTACAAAAAACTGCAAAAATGAATGTAACCTGTTTTGAAACCAAACGGCTCGCACAAAACTAATTAATTCTGTTTTCAGTTAAATTTTTATAGGAATGAAGAAACTCCACACGTTTTTTTATTCAGCAGGAAAGGCACGATCATTAACACACAGAATAATTATTAATTCAGTCCTTTCATGTAAAGGAAATATTTAAATAAACATAAAAATAGACATAGGAATAAATTAATACGGAAATAAGTATTAAATAATAAACAGTGAACTAAAATTACTTTTAATTAATGTGTATGTTCCAATTACATAACTGAGGTATGTAGTATTAATAGACAATATTTATTATTCCTCTGTATATCTGAAGGCGAGTTGGTTTAGATATGTGGGACATATTAGCTTGGAGCCAATAGTTTGAAAAAGAACACGCAGGAAGCCAAAAATTAGATGGATAAATAGGATCAAATATGATAAAGAGCTGAATGCAGCAAACTGGAAAGCAGTAAATATAGAGAGCTACAGGTGAAGAAGCTTGGTTCGGGAGGCCAAAGACCAACAAGTTCTAAAGCCAAAAGAAAAAAAAGAAGAAGGTTTTAGCATAAAATAAAGTATTAAATAAAATTTCAAATAAAATATAATAGACTTACGAGATAATATATAATAGACTTATCTATTACCAATGGAACAGTGACTGTCACTTATGCTGACGACACAATAATTCTTAACAAAACACCAAGACCCTCCGAAAGCCTCACTAACAATCACTTAGATAAATTGCAAGACTAGTACAAATTATGGAAAATTCGACTAAGCTATGATAAATCTAAAAACATTAAATTTACACTTCGAAGAATTATCTGCACTCCAATTTATATATAAAACAACAAAATTCCTCAGGACACCAGACACTGTCTTGGACTAACCATTGACAGAGAGATGATACGGTGCCAACGTGATAAAATAAAATGGAAGACCCTCAATAGACGACACAAACTACTTTACTCACTTTTTTCCAAATCTTCCAAACTAGAACTGAGACAAAAACTAAATACATACCTATACTTACTTAAACCTAACAACTTAAAAAACTTCAAACTTTCCTATCGAAAATATTGCGATCCATAACTAAAGCACCTTTGTTTGCGACTGACAGAATCTAACATACGGACTGACTTCCACCTGCCTACAGTTGACTAGCACATAACGACTCTTTACAAACTATTTCATACTAATTTAAACAGACATACTAATAAGAGTTATGGCTTCAGCTGACTTGCCCATCAATACGAGGAGACTAAAAAGGCGATGGAGGATAGAACTCCTTCCTCACCAAACCACGGTAAATGAGTCAAACCGGGGAAGAGGTACTGCTGGGTGGTGCTCTCCTTCCCCATCTTATTTTCATTACTTTTATTAGACTATCTGTTGATTGCTAACAGTTCTTCAACAGGTACAGATAAATATTTTAAGATAAAAAGTTTCAAGCGACAAAAGTAAAACGGCATTATTGTATTAAAATCATATTTCGAGGAATTGTAATTTTTGTAGTGGGTATTCGAATGTAAGTTATTTTCGTGTCCTTGATTATGTAATAATAGTTTAAGGAATTTTGATTTACTCAACAACGATTTCATATCCGTTCCCAAAATTTCAACTTAGTAGGGGAATAAATAGTCATTGTTTGAAGGGCCTAATTTGTATTAATAATTTTATCTAATATAGCTTGAGTAACATTACCTCAGTAATAGTGTAAAAAAGATGAAATTATAAATTAAATTAAGATCATGAATATATAACATTACCTATTACACTCTAGCACCCAGGACAACTTTGTTCAATAAGTAACATGTCATGACTATATCGTTATGTGTGTTTATCACATGCAAATTTATAAATATTTCTTATTGTGCGCACAATAAACAAAGCCCACAAAATCCAGATAATTCTCAGAAGTAAAAAACCTTCATACAACGCAACATAAATAGAAGTAATATAAAATTTGCCAGTTAGGATTGGAAATTCAGCATTAAATTTGAAAACTTTATAAACCGAACAGTGAATCAAGGAAAACCGCAATCCATGTTTTAAAATACAGATGACTAATTCGAATTAATAATGATTTGATGAACATCGATTTCCATTCGATACAGCCAGCTCACATTTGCATAATTCCGAGAAGGATAGTTCTCAAGGATATGGATCGCGCGGAATAGCTTAGACATTTTTAATAAAGTGAGAAATTTACTTGGTGATGGGGTGGCGATGAAACGAGAAATTCTAAGAGCCTTTCCCCTTGGGCGCCAGAAGAATTAACCCAGAATATCGGCTTGGAAAGTAAGATCGTCCGGCCGATAGGGCTCGCCTTAACTTTCGAACCAGTTTATGATCCTATCTTTTAGCAATCTTCGCTGCACCGGTGTATTGGAATGGAGTTACTCAAAATGCGAGAGTGTTGGGAAAGCAAGAAAAAGTATATCATCTTATGTATGGAAAGCCAACGTTTAAAAGAGTTTCATCGAATTATGGTCAAACAGAATCAAAAGCTCTTCTTGGCCCCGGGACGCGAACTCGGTAATATTTTATCACATAATCATCAATCCGAGATGACATGCAACGCGCCCCCAATCAGAAAGCACCATGCTGCCTAGTATATTCATAGGATAAATAGGAGTATAAAATGGCTTCTCATTTCAATACCGTCCTCTCAAGTTTTCCTTGGCCTCTTCGGAGGACTTCTTCGACCAAAGTTACTTTCTAACGCTATCCTCGTCATTCGGTTCTCTGCCATTAATTTGCCACAGTGTGTTCTATAAGAAGAGTGGAATATTTAAAGGAGTGATAATATACCTCAAGAGCTACAACAAATTTTAGATAAACAATAGTTCGAGTTTCCTCAGACAGGATGAAAAATCAGTATTTTTCGAATTAATTTATTTTATAAATAAAATGTGTGTTTAGACAATTGTGTTTAATAAAATACATCTCAGAACATGAAAAAAAAAACAAGAACTAAAAGCTTTGTGAAACAATTAATTGTAGTCATTTTTGGTGAAAACAGGGGTACTTTTACTTAACAGGATAAAAAATTTTTTTACAAAATTAACATGAGCTGTATCTCAAATTCTTCACTTATAAACCTCAACTTAATAACGAAAAAGTTTTTGTAAAAGTGGAGTAAATGTTGGACGATGATGAAAAAAAATGGCGAATAATTTATGATTTTGTTAAAAACAGAACTTAGCTTAGTTTGGCCGCTCAGAAGTCCTCTGTAAATGGATTTAACAATGATAAATCTATGTTCATTTAAAGAAAATTTCATCTTGTTTTCAATGAAACAATTATTAATTACTCAAATTAAATATTTCTTTAGTTATCTCTTTCTATTCATTAAAAAAAACAAGAGTAACTTAAAAAAAACCTGATTCTACCTATAAATGTAAACTACATCCAGTTTGTTCCATATATACCGCTCAGATTAATGCCATCGCGATGGCTCTACGGCATGTGATAAATTAGGCAGTTGTAAATGTGGTTGTGGTATCATAATCTTTGAGTGCCCTTGAAGCCATGAGCAACATACATCCAGACCACCTAGGAATATTACAGTATTTTGGAACTCATAAAACAGCTGACATTGGATGACATTGGAACATTAGTACATTTTTTATGGTCTCCCGGTCATGTAGTCATTGGTGGGAATGAAATGGCTGACAGAGCAGCAATAGAAGCTCTTATCCTTCCTTATTATACTACGGTAAAACAGCCCTCCAAATAAATTAAAGGTGATAAAAAATTAAGCGAAGCCATGGGCCGTTCCAGTCGCAGTAAACTCAGAGTGGAAGTTGTCTTTACGCGATTAACACTAGGTCTTTCCAGGATTACAGGAATTACAAAATAAACCCGCCCGTTTATCGAAAATGTAAAGAGAAAATGACAGTGGTCCACATCTTTACATCAGAGAATTGAACAAAATAGGAATACCAGCAAATAGATCGGCTGCTTGGGGAAATTATGAAAAAATCTTAAGCAAAATCATATGTTTTCTCTCTGAAGAAAGAATTTTTAAAAATTTCTGAATCTCTCAGCATTTCCCACCTCTTTTTTTCTTTGACTTTTTTTTTTATATATTATTTATTTTTTTACATAATAACCGTAAACAACTTTAACCTGTACGTCCATTTTACATATTTTTAGTTTTATTTTATTCCTATCATTCACAACCAGAAGATATAATAATATACAATTTTAATTAACGGACGTTGATGACCAACAGGTTTTACGTCTTTATTATACAACCAACCAACAACTGAAAATTTTAAAGGTCATTTTAATACATACCGAATTAAATGATAAAAAGTTATGTATTGCTAAAAAGAAATTTTTATTCGTCTTTTTAATAAAAATTATTCATTTTTAGAAAAAATAAATTTTATAAATTAAATATTAATTAAATACTAATACATCATTCTGCAATATTTATGATAATGACGCCGCATATCCTTTCACAAAAGCCTTTAAATAAAGAGCCAGATGAAACTTGGTAATAAATTGCTATCTAATACACACAACCGCTTGAGTGCCTATTTAGATAATCTGAAAAGCAAATAGCTTTGAAATCGACTTCTGTTGCTGAGTTCCTCATTAAAATGCTTTCTGATTATCATCAAAATTAAAATCTTAAAAAATATGTTTTTTAATGTTGAACATGTCTCCATCTGATCTCAAAATATCTCAAGCATACCAATAGATGCTTTGTTAAGGTCTGTTAATAATAGATAAGATAAAAATAGTGATAAATAAACATTACATAATATGAGAAACCATATACACTAAATTTTTCATATACTCAACGAATCAACAACTGATATTTAGGTTTTAAACCACAAGCACGTATATAGGAAATCTTCAGTGTTATTTCCTCAACAATTTCAAAGAAACTGAGTATCAAAGGAACTTAGGCGTAATTGTTATACAAGCATAATGGCATGATAAAAATTACGTTTATTCAACTAGGATTCTTTTAAAAAAAAAAATGAGATGATAGCTTAGAGATTTTAATGGATCCGCATAAAAAATATATTACGCGATATTATCATCAAATGAATCTGAATCTTCAGCTCTGTGAATATCGTAGGATAATAGAAAAATAAAATAAAATAAAAAAATGCAGGAAGGAATGTTGAGAAAGAAAGGATTAGGAAAAGTGGATGTAAGAAAAAACAAACCAAAGAAGAAATAGATGAATTATGGACATCCCCAGACTGACGGAATTACCCAGTGAATCGGTATTATATCGATTTGTTTCTATGGTTTTTCCCTCCCCTAATAGATTGATTTCATAAGGGTTTCTCTATGCATCATCTTTTCACACCTGTGCATTTACTTCAAGTCAGTTGTCATCTTGAGCAATCCTTTAATACTTTATTATTTACAGTGTTTAATACTTGTGCTTTTTGTTGTTCTAGTTCTTACATTTTAGTGAGATATTGTCTTTTTACGGGCTTGTATTTCGACGCTGTTCAAAAACAAAATCATATTTTATTTTTTTTATAAAAACCAATATAGAGTTAAGACAATATAGTTGCACTCGCTCAACAATGTTTCATTTTTTTAATAATTGTCAATAAGGACAGTTTTGATTCCAGAGAAAAAGATACAAACCTAACATTTATTTATCCTATTTCGTTTGAATGAATATCTTGAGAAATAGAAAGCAATAAAACATAGATTCAAAAACATAAGTAAACAGAGATAGTTATAACTCGTTTCAGGTATAAATTCTCTAAATTACAAAATAAACATTAAAATAATAACCTATAAAATGTTTTTCAATTTCATTACCACGGAAACAACAACAAATTTCTCTTAAGGGAAATAAAGTTTGAGTTAAATAACCTAAACCTTACCGTCTCCCCACCAGAACGAAAAAAGTGCCTTCTGCCGTGGGTATTAATCCAATAATTTCACATATAAATGTTTGAGTAGTGGAGTAAATGGCTCTACGGGTACGAAGTTGTCATGAAGATTCGTATAGGAGTGGAACACTTTTTTTCATCAAGTTATTACAATATCCTGTTTTTAGCGCCTTCATCTCTTGAAAATTCAGGGCTGAACACGTTGTGAGAATGAGAGAGGAGGAGATTTTTGCCAAAGTGTTCACAAGACAGGCCACGGCTTCGATGGGAGAATGTCCGAGTCCTCCTTGATATCTGTAATAGTAATTTTTAGGGGCGGGGTGGCAGTGCGGGCTAATGCTTGTGCACAGCACCGCGTTGCCCGAC